CCTCCCAGACCTGATTGAAGCCTGCATTTTGCAGGGCTGGCAAGACTTCAGGGGCAGAGCCTCCGAAGCGAGTAAAAGGAGCCGTGTGCCCAGCACATGGCAGACGCGTTGAAGAAAGAAGGGGCTATGAAGAGCTGGGGAAAAGCTGCCCAGCAGGTGAAGGAGCACCCAAAAGAGCCCCAAACATGCCCCATCCCTGCTGGGACTGATGCCTCAGCCCCATCAGTGCGATGCATGGGGCTTGGACCACGGGGCTGCTCAAGGTGGCTTGGGTCTGCATCCCCAGCAGGCAGCCAGGAGCACGGTGCAGAGATTGCTGCGTGGAGGGTCCAATAGCGCACCAGGACTCTGGGAGCTGCTTCAAGGCAGCTCAGGTCCCCAACCCCTGGCACTTAGGTCCCCAACCCCAGGCTGCTGATGTGGCAGCACCCTCCAGCAGGTCCAGGAGCTGACTGAGCCCTGGTGTTGCACGAGGTGGCCTGGGCCTCCAACCAGTGCCATAAGGAGCAAGCCAAATGGTGCATGGGCCGGTGCACAGGGCCACGAGCAGGCCTCAGGATGGGAGAGAGTGGCCAGCCACCATGCCAGGAGAGGCACCCGAACCACAGAGCCCCGCATCACCAGGGGTGTCCCACAGGGGAGGGAGCCAGCAAAGGCCCCTCTGAGGTAGGGGGTCCCGTCCCAGCCCACGAGGGGTTGGAGGGGCCTAGAGCATCGTCCCCTTTTCCCCTGGCAGAGCTGCGGCCAGGCTTCCCCTCGTTAAGTGGGGAGACCCTAGCATAGCAGCACCCTCAACACCTGGAAGGATGAGCAAGCACCTCATATTTTGTCATTTGTGCCTTATATTTTGTCATGAGAGGTTTCGCTGTTATAGGAGTACAAGTGTATGCTTTTCTTTGATTTCCACTGCATACATGACAATGCTCTTCCATGGACTGTGAATAGCGAATTGCTTCTATCCCTGTCGATGTGCTGTATTTACCTGTGCTTGCCTCTACTCACCTGGTCCAGATCCATCACTTACCTGTGTGGATTGAAGCTCTATAGGAGGTAGAAGTCAAGTATAATATAGTCCTGTACCCCTGAATAAGTGATTATTTATATATGTGTGTGTGTGTGTGTGTGTGTGTGTGTGTGTATGTGTGTGTACATATACATACGTATATACATTACATATGTGTGTGTGTGCACGTATGTATACACACATATGCATATATATATACACACATATATACATACACACACCTACATACATATACATGTTGACAGCTCCCTCCCACAGCACTCCCTCCCCATCAATTCAGAGATGGGGGTACATAACCTGTGCATGCCCAGGCTACACAAGGCAAGGGAGCTCAAGACTTGAAGATCAAGGTCTCTGATGATATGACCTGTGGAGAGAACTTATAACACAGAAAATGTGTCTTTTTTGTTTGTTTTTGGTAAGACAAATACATACAATCTTTTTCTTCCCCCTCCGGATGCACCAGGCTTTCTGCTCGGTTATTTACCACAGTTATTCTGTTTCTTTCTTTTTTTTCTTACTTACATAAAAATGTGGACGATGACCAGAAAAACAAATAATTGGGATGGAGCTCAGCTGGGTATCATACAAATAACTTAATGCTACTCAAAAAAAGAAATAGATGTTTATATGGATAAAAGCTCCATCTGTGACCTCCTCACCCAGAATAAACACAACAGACAAGGTCCCTCTCCACGCTACCAGCATTAGCTACTGGTCACCTACATTAGGGGGAAATCCAAGCCTGGCACCTCCCAAGTCCCCTGGGACACGGCTCTTAAACACATCCTTCGTATTCACAAGAGCACATGGTCATGTTTAAATCCCATCTATCATGCTAGAGCTCAAGCACATTCCTGGATTGGGGCCCACCAGGGTTTTTTTCAGGCGTTCCTGGAGGAAATTTCTCCTTAGTCCCTGCTGGAGACAGGATAAGTGGTGAAACGATCTGCTCATCTGGTCAGTTGCTGTGTTGGAAAGTCTGCACAGATTCCAGAGCGGTCTTTAGTCTTCATAAAATCACAGACAACGAGGCTGGAAGGGAGCTCAGGAGGTCGCATCTAGTCCAACCCCCTGCTCCAAGTGGGACCAGCCCCAACTGCATCATCCCAGCCAAGGCTTTGTCTACCCAGATCTTCAAAACCTTGAAGGACGGAGACTCCCCTACCACTCTGGGGAGCCTGTCCCAGTGCTTCACCACCCTCCTGGTGAGAAAGTTTTTCCTAACATCCAACCTCAACTTTCCTTGCTGCAACTTGAGCCCATTGCTCCTTCTGTCATCTGCCCCCACTGAGACCAGTCCAGCTCCATCCTCTTTAGGATAGGAGCTGGAGGCTGCTATTCAATCCCCCTCGGTCCTCTCTTCTGCAGACTGAATCAGCCCATTTCCCTCAGCCTCTCCTCACCAGTCCTGTCCTCCAGCCCCACAACCATTTTCGTTGCTCTCTGCTGGACTTTCTCCAACTTGTCCACATCCTTTCCGTAGAGGGGGGCCCACAGCTGGACACAGGACTCCAGATGTGACCTCCCCAGTGCAGAATAGACCTCCCTCAATCCAGCCAGTTTTCAATCCACCTTACAATCCATTCATCAGACCCTTGGAGGAAAGGGGCATTGGTAGCTACTGAGCATGGGAGTGAGGGGCATGGCCTTTGAATCAGAACTTCCTAGACCTTAAATGCAGGAAGCTGCAAGTGAGCCACAAACAGGGGGGGAAAAACCCTGGTCACACCCAGTTCACTCTCCCTTCCAGCATCCCCTCTCTGCCCCTGTGACACCAGAGCCTGGGCAAGATGGACCCAGGGTCTGACCCAGTCAATGGCAAGTCTTATGTGTGCTTGCAAAACACTGGGAGTGTGCCCCAACTCCAGGTTGTCTCAGAAACCTGCACGGCTGATATTGCTAATCATGGATGCGGGGACTAATGCTGAAGTCCAAAAGCAGGTGATGTAAGGAGTGAGTCATAAGCAGCCTGGCCTAGTGGGTAGCCACCAGGGAAGGGCTAGAGACAGGAGCTGGTGGGTCCAGAGCCACACAGTGGGGTGCAGGGTTTGGATCAGAGCTAGAGTCCAGGTTTCCAAATCCAAAGGAGAAATCCAGAGGCAAAGTCCAAGTCAAGTTGCCGGAGTCAGGGGCTGAGTTACCAAAGCCAAGAGGAGCTCCCAAAAACCAGAAGGAAGAGCCAAGCAGGGTCAGAAGCCAGAAAACCAGAGCACAAGGTCCAGAGAGGCTGACCACAGCAAAACTCGTGGCTGGCCTGCAGTCTGCCTCCACGGGTGGTCAGAAATGCAGATGCTGGTCTCAGGAGGCCCTGACAGCAGCCAGGCTGGTTCATCAGCCAGAGTGAAGCTCCCATCTCGAGCTGCGGGTAGATTTGGCCACCTGGGCAATTAGCCCTGGCTGTCAAGGCCCCTGGGAAGTGATGTCAGAGCCCCTCCCTCTCACCAAGCCTACAGCAACCACATTTTGGGATTTATGCAAGGCAAAGCTTTGCATTTCACAGCTAGATGCTTTCCATTTAAACATGCCAAGGCCGTAGTGTTGGGTGCAGCCAGCCCCGCCGCAGTCCAGAGCCTCGGCTTCCAAAATGGACACTGACTTTTGGTCCCTGGCATGTCAGGCAGCAGAGAGACAACTGGTCAATTTGGCACTGCCACGCCTGTAGGGATGTCAGGGGTTGCTCATCCCCATCTGGAGCACTTTACGTTTCTCAACGTTGAATTTCATCGGGTTCCCATTCGCCCAACTTACCAGCCCGTCTAGGTCCATCCATATCTGCAGCCTATCTTCAAGCGTGCCCATGCTCCCCCATAGCTTGATGCCATCTGCGAACTTAGCCAGTGAGCTCTTCATCCCCACATACAAATCATCGAAAAAGATGTTGAATAGCACTGGGCCAACCCATGTGGGACACCGCTGCCCACGCCTCACCAGGATGGCACAGATCCGTTCATTAGGACTCTCTGGGTCCTACCCCGCAACCAGCTCCCTACCCACCTCACTGTTGAGCGGTTAAGCCCACAATCCCCCAATTTTCCCATGAGGATGTCATGGGATACCGGATCAACAGCCTTTTGGAGGTTGAGGTATGCAATGTCCGCCTCCTCTCTCTTATGCAGGTGGCGAGTTACCTGGTCGTAGAAGGAGATGAAGTCGGTAAGACAAGACCTGCCCATGACAAAACCATGCTGGCTGTCATTCAGGATCCTACCTTCTCCAAGCCTATCACATATAGACTCCTTAATGAATTTTTCCAGGATTTTCCCTGGTCTAGAAGTTAAGCTAATTGATCTATAGTTGCCCAGGTCCTCTCTCCCCCACTTCTTGAAGGTGGGCACAACATTGGCCCTCTTCCAGTCTTCAGGGACCTCTCCCGAGCACCACGAGTTTTGGAAGATTGGCAAGCAAGACTAATGGCCAGAAGCCCTGACTACAACCAAGCAACTCACTCTCACTAGTGACCTTAGGCCAAAAGTGTAATTCCAGGGTGCTCGGATGGGCAAAGACCCAGGGCCCCAAACAGAGACTGCAGTTCTCCAAGCAAAGGGATGGCAGGGAATACATCGGGTTTTCTGAGCAGAGCAATGCCCCAGGATGGGCGGCCTTCTGCTGACATTGCAAAGTCCAGGCACAAACCCTTCAGGGAGACTCCGGGAATCTCGTCTCTTAGGATCCTGATCATCCGTCACCCTCGTATTCAACCTCATCCTTCCTCCCCACCCTCGAGCATCGAGAGAGAACTGAGAGCGCCGGTCAAGGCAGGGAGTGAGAAAACACCCTCATTATTGACGACCCTGAAGCAACAAAACACAAATTAAACTACCTTGCAAGACAATTGGAAAAAAAAAAAAAAAGATTGTGTAAAAGAAGTTTCAGGGACATTTCAGTGTCTACAAAGGGGAATGAAATGTGTATCCTCTTCTTAACGGATAAAAGCTTTTTTCTTTTTTTTTTTTTTTTGCCTACATGGATATATTTCTCCTGTGTTAACCTACATTTCTTTCAAGTCTTTATGTAAATGCTGGCTTGGTGCCCCATGTCAGCCCAAGACCTGCTCCAGAATCAAGCACGGCAGAAGGAGAAGCCTGTTTCCAGCTTGTTAATAATGAACTGGCTTTCGTCTCATTCTTCTCGTCCCTTCTCCCTGAGCGGTACCTGTCTTGGGAAGTACAAGGCTTTTGCATCAGCGCGCAAGCTGGTTGCCCACGCCAGCTTTCGATGGCTGCCGAGGCCAGTTCCTTTCTAGGCACAGCGTGTCTCTTTGGTCAGCTCTCATTAAGCGCTGCTCAAAGAGCCGAGTCCTAAAATATGCTTCTCTCGTGCTTCTTTTAGGGTTCTCCGCTCTTCCAGGATTGACAACGTGGTAACGAGAGACTTTCCGGAGTCTGGATTTAATACTACCATATGCTAGACAGAATGAGCACCCGCATCGCGAGAGACCAGCCGGTACATTTCCATGTTAACAGAAGCTCGATTGCAAATTACATTGAGTCTCAACAGCTCAGTTCGCTGCACACAGATGCCATGGGGGACTGTAAAGTTAGCGAGCTGTGGGGGAGTACGGCTGAAATTTTTTAAAAAGCTCTTTGGCTGGGAGGATGCCACAGATGACGGGAGCAGATGAGGCAGGAAAGATGTCGCTCCGGCTGCTGCTGTTTGTTTCGCCAAAAATAAAGAAGAAAATTGTCACGAGCGGTTAGTCAAATGACGAATCCTCGCTCCGCTGGTAAGCGCCTGACGAGACGAGGAGCGATAGCGGTGCTGTCAAAAGCTGCTCTCACGGGTTCACAGCCAGTCTGGAAAGACATCCAGAGGAGGGGAGCTTACTCCAAGGAAATAGGTCAAGGCAGGATAAAAAGGGAGCCTGCAGTGTTGGAGGCCTAAATCTGGGATGAACTACAGTCTTCAGCACAGGTCTTGCATTGCAAGAGGCTTTCCTGGGTCCCTTTGAACCTCACTGCCATGCATTTGCATTGTCACAGACCTGCATTTTGCAACATTGGCATCTATTCCCCCCAGGAGAGCACACAAGCACTAAAACACTCTCCCTGTGCCTGAAGAAGGGTGTTTGTGCCTGAAAGCTTGCAAAGAGCAATGTTTCCAACTATTTAGTTGGTATAATAAAAGTTATCACATCTGCCCAAAGAACCTTGTCGGCCTAAAAGGCTTTCCAGGCTCAGAGGTTTAGAGATACTCTCTTCCATGGTTATCGTTTGGATCCAGCTTAGACAGGTGGAGACCAAAGCTGCCCCCACCTGCCGATGGATTTTGGGCACCAAAGCAGCTCCCACCATCCATCTTCAATGGGACAAATCTGCCTTGCAAAAATCCATGGCTCATCCAGGCCTAGCTGGCCTCTTTGCAAGCAGGGTGGCTATAGCCTGGAAGGGCTAGAGACCACCTGCCCTTGTCGCATACGGGACCACGTCTTTGCTGTGGTTCTGGAGAAGACGTTGTCCTCCAGAGTCACGAGGCCAGCACCAATATAGGGATAATAAGACCATGCCTTTCAAGACCGAGGGAACATATTCATGTGGAAGCACTTTCTATAAGCACAGCTGTCTTGTTGCAGATGGCAGGAGACTGCTGTGTACAGTCGGGGAGAAAGTCTTTACCTCCCAGCCTTGCAATGCAGCACAGCCCTGCATAGATCACAATGTGGCAGCAGGTGCATTTGGTCCAGCTTCACTGCAAGGCGATGGAGGACGTTAGTGGTTATGGGCTTCTTCCCATCGACATCGGTGCTAACATTGTCATTTTCTGTGTGATGCCAGAGGGTCTCGCAAGCAACGTGTTGCTCCCAGGCCAGGAGCTAGGGACCACAGAAGCAAATGAGCTCTTGAGATTTCTTCCATCCTTACTTTGCTGCGATGGCATGAGGCATTCATACATTGCTCTGAAGTGCAAGAAAAAACAGTTCCCCCTTGCAACATGCAGCCCGCCGGCAGGATCCCCTGCCCCTGAAGGTCACCAAGGCAGGTACAGAAGCAGAATCATTTTATGGCCATTCATGCAGTCTGGGATAAAATATGGGCTAGGTCATCTCATGCTTCAAGGCATCAGCTGGTTGTCACAGGGATCAGGAAGGAATCACTCCTACACACACATCAAGTATGATGCTGAACAATTAGCCAGGTAAACTGGGCATATGGAGGAGATGATTGGGTTTGTTTTGGGGGGTTTTGCCTGCTATCAGCATCTTCAGACCAGAGAGCAGTGTATTCAATATACTGCTCCTTTATTTCTACCCAGCATGAGTCACGGCGGGGCCCGTGATCTCCCAGACTTGGACTACAAAGCTCCAGGGAAGAGTACAACTATAGCACTTCTCCCCTTTCCGTTTTGGGAGCAGTCACTGCTATTCCCATGTGCAGAGAGCTGCATTATTAGCCTCCAGTGCACCTGCCTTTCATGTGTACGCATCAAAATCAGCCCTAGACGATGGGGGAGCGACAGAATCCGCCCCTGAACTGAGAGGCCGTCACGATAGAGTCCATTTACCATTGCACCCATATCAGGGAGCAAAGACACGTTGGATGTAGGATGGGCAAGGGCTCTGGGAAGCTCAGATGAAGCCATCCAGAACAGTGGGGAGGTTTGGATAGAGAGCACCCCTCACCCCCAATAACTGCACCCCTGGCTAGGGAGCAGCTGCTGCCTGCCTGGGCTTTGGAGCTGCCCAGCCATTAGCCTAGGAGCTGCATGGAAGACATCAAAGCTGAGCTCTGTTCACAGCTGGAGCTGGATGTACTGAAGGACGTCACGCTGCTCTCCCTTGTAAAATAAAAAAAACAGAGTCCCCGTCATTGCCTATTGAGTTGCTGTTGGCTTTTTTTTTTTTTTTTTTTTATTTCACTGTGTTTTTATTCACTGGGGCAGTTGGGTTTTCTTGCCATTATCTCAGCCTCTTTATCAGCTCTTCAGGTCACTCCAACCCAGTTGGGCATCTATCTTCCTACCACTGCAGCCCTGGATAAAAAAATTGCGTTATCATAGAGCATCATATTGCGCACCCAGGGGCAAAGAAGGGTTTTGCCACGACTGCCAACACAAGCCACTCTAGGTCTCCCATGTCCCTTAGTTTCCTCCCCCTTTTTTGCATGCCCTGCCTTGCATCCAGGAGTCACCATCTGTCTGGCTGAGGCCATGGGGGCTTGCAAGGGGCCCTTAATTGCTCCTTAAACTTTTATAGGGTAGGTTCAAGCAACCAGGCTCTTGATCGATACCCACGGTCTTCAGCACTAGAGAACAAAGGCTTCCTTCTGCTTCCCCTGAACACAGCAGCAAACCTCCCATTGACTCCAATGGGCTTATTCAGGAGAAGGGCCTCCCTCCATGTATTTGCACATCTCCTGGCACTTGTGTTTCTGACCCGGCCTGACAGCAAGAGCTTGGTAAGTCAACCAGCTCTTGCAAAGGGCCTCTCACAGCTTGAATATTGCCAGCTAAGCCCAGGGCTATTGCTTAAGACAGAGCTGCGGCAACACGTTCACTCCAGAGCTGCCTAGAAGATCTCACGGTGCAAAAGAAGATCCGTAGAGAATGAAGTTGGTGCCCAAGTTTCTTAGCAAAAATTAGTCCAGGCAACTTGACCTGATGCCTCGCAGCAAGAAGACTTGCTGCAAAAAGTATGTGAGCAGCAGAGGAAACCAAGTAGGGCCAGTTCACACCATTGTCGCTAGCTGGACCCAAGCTGGATTGGCATGCTCTCCGTGACATGGCTCTGTAGATGCACCCTCAAATAAGCCCACAGGACAGATAGGGTGGAGATCAAGAAACTCATGCTCTCTGACCTCAATAGAGCATGCATCTACACAGAGCAGCTGTCAAATGACCCAATGGTCATTGCCAAGCGGCAGAACGTAGTAGCCAAGACCTGGATCCACAAGCCCGCTCCTGCTCTTCCCACAGGCTGACCAAACACGGACCAGGAAAAGAGTGAAGATGCATCGGGGCAAGAACGAAGATCTAGTGTTGGTGAGCTGGGGAGAAGTGAAGACACAAGGAGTAGGGCTGGAGAGGAAACACAGGCTCAGCACTAGAAGGAAAGGAAGAGCACGAAGCAACGTCTCCCTCCGAGATCCCCACCCCACAGCCCGGCAGGGATGGAGGGCACTACTGAGAGCCCCTTCTTTGCACAAGCCCAGATAACCCTAATGCTACTTCACTCTCTAGAGGCAGAGCATCTCAGGAGAGGTCTGTTGCCTCTGCCCAGCAGACACACAGCTGGGAAAACTCATGGGAGCAATACAACCTCTTGCTTCTGCCTGGAGCCACGTGGGATCATGCCCCTCTGGAAAGAACTGGGATGCTTCAGCACTGCTGCCAATAGGCACATTGCCCATGATACAGAGCCCCCAACACTGCTGGCACCCTTAGGTCTGGGGCAGGGGCCAAGCACGAGGAGATTCATAGAGCCCAAACGAAGGAGGACTGTTTGCAATCCAAGGGCTGGGGACTTACCGCAAAGAAATGCAGTGAAGGTGTGGCTTTCAGGCTCTGGGCCAATGCTCCAGGTAGCTATATATAACAAGGATAGCCAAGAGGCAAAGCAAAGCACCCCATAGACATAGAAGATGAGGGTTGAAGGGGCTCAGGAGGTCACGTCTCATCCATCGCCCTGCTCCAAGCAGGACCAGCCCCACCTACATCATCCCAGCCAAGGCTTTGTTGAGCCGCATCTTCAAAACCTCCAAGGATGGAGACTGCACCACCGCTCTGGGAAGCCTGTTTCAGTGCTTCACCACCCTCCTAGGGAGAAAATTCCTCCTAATATCCAACCTCAACATCCCTTGCTGCAGCTTGAGCCCATTGCTCCTTGTCCTGTCATCTGCCCCCACTTGGACACAGTCCAGCTCCATCCTCTTTGTAGGTAGACGAAGGCTGCTATGTTAAAAGAACCTCATTCAGGTTGCCAAGTCCAGGTCTCCAAGTTAGGCAATGCTATAATGGATGTTTCCTGTGCAGCCTTTTTCCACCCCCTTGTCCACAGGCATTATACAGCAGTCCTCTGCTCCGTGATCATGCACATAGGAAACCTTCCTACAGCAGGAAAAATGCCCCTGTTCAAAAACCTTCTCATAGTCCTTTCACCGCAAGCTCCAGCACCTGCATGCTTCAGAGCTAGGCCTTGACATTTGCCCAGTGGATCATCCTCGTGTCTGGGATGTGTCCTTTGGCTCTTTCTAAAAAGATCTGCCCAAATTTGGCCAAGTTATGAAGCAGGGGAGAGGAACATTTCTTAATTCCCCACCTTGGCACTACAAGTGACGCAGCAATTGTAGGAAAACCCTTCTCAGCTCCTACACCTGGGTTGCAGCATGTTTAGGGTAGCTGGGATCTTGGGGGGCAGGATTGATCTGCCAAACTCTCAGGATACATCTACAGGGCCTCGTCCCGGCTCTGGGGGCACAACCAGGGCTCTCTGAAAGAGCTGACGCACTTCGGCTGCAACTTTCCAAAGAAATAAAATAAAATAATATAAAAATAAAATAATTCAGCTTGAGGCCACCTAGGCAGAAGACGGTGCAAGGTGCCGTCTTGCCCAGCCCCAGGTGCAAAGTGGGGCTGCTCTGGGAATAAGTCCATGAGTGTGAGCAGCCTGAGCTGAACACGAAGTGGCGGCAGCTGCTGTTTTCACAGGCTCTGTGGGCAACACGACATAGCCCAACAAGCCCTTGGAGAGCTCACTTTGCCTCGGTCTTGTCTTTAAAGTTTCTCTGCAGTTGCTCGATGCCGATGTTTCCTCCTTGAGCTCCTTCTCCTTCTCCAGGCCCAAATGCTAATACTGACAGTCCCACACTTTAAAGGAAAAAAAAAAAAAAAAAAAAAGCTCAGCCCATGCTGTGGCGGTGACTCATCCAACAAAGCCAGAGGTTGTCTATTTTGATCTTTCACTGTTCAGGACCTATTTACAGTGGCAATTTTCTCCCTCCTGACGTTCTTCAGGGTCACAAGCAAGAAAACTGGGATGCGGAGAGAAAAGGACAAAAATACCTTGCTGCCTGCCAGAGCCAGCTCCGGCACAGAGATCTTTATTACTCCCGAGATACGGCGTCTGCCAGTCGCAAAGTTCATCCATGCCTGATCGGCTCCCCACAAGGCACTCTGTTGTGGGGGGAAACCTCTCGAGGGTCGAGTTTGGGCGTCCCATTGTGCAGACTGAGGCACGATGACTGAGGCACTCTACAGAGAAGAGATATTGGTGCCAGGTTCAAATCCAGCCCAGGGCAGAGGCAAATCAGAGCCATTACTTGGACATTCGGGCTGGGTGAGTTGTGAGAACTGTGTTGCTGGTGTCCTACTGCAAGCAGTCTCCCTATACCCCCCCCCCCCCCAAAAAAAAAA